GTTCTGACGACAGCTTCAGAGAGGCAGGAGCTTGGGCTCAGTCTAACAAGATGGCGCCCCCAGTCCCTCCAGCCTGATGGACCTGCGACTCACTCCTTCCCGAAAGAGGCAAGCCCAGATGCTTCTCTAAATACAATCAGGTTAAGAGATCACAGCAAAAGGACGCCTTCTCCGTCCCACAAAATGTTGTCACTGTCGGGCCAACTGAAGTCAAAGTTCAATGACCCCTAGTCCTGGGCTAAAGTACATTCTTTACGGGAAGTGTTTCCTCTAACAAACTAACAGCCCCAGGTAACGTGCAGGCTGGCTGGTTTCAGCCCACCTTATCAGAGTCAGAAAGCTCTCCGCCCTTCATGGACCCTAAACCTCTTACCTCACCTGCAACCCATCAGAGACTTGCACACACACGGATCAGGCACCTTGTGACCCCGACCTTATAAAAGGCTCCAACAGCCGGCCCTCGGTGCTCACAGGGGCACCCCCGCCTGTGTGCCTACTGTTGTCTATGGCAGTGTATCCAACAGACCCCTTTTCTATTCTCATACTTTATCTCTGGTAAATTCTTCTACCAATCACGTCACCATGTCACAGTCTGGCTGCCCCACTGTGCACATTAACAGTCACTACTGCACTAAACTGTATCAAGCCGAAGAGCTTCTGAATCAGTGTGATGAGGTGGGTGTAAGCTGCTGCTAATTTAAGGGAGGAGGCATGGCCCACAACCTCTACCGTCAGGACAGAAAACCTTATGTTGTTTCTCAGTTGCTTATTGTCTCAGCGCCCAGTGCCTGGGTGGCCACGGAGCCAGGAAGACGCTCCAGACACAACAGGGGACAAGGCCAGAGGCCCCTCCCCAGGCACGGGTGTTAGGCCCTCTTTCCCATCCTCAACTTTCCAAGTAAGGACAAAATATGTGTTAAAAAGTACGAAATACTGCTTTCTGCCTCAAACAAGCAACTCTGGCTCTTGTCAGCTTACAGCATCTTGAAGACGGACACAAGAGATGGAAAAGCACTCCACACAGCTCGGATGCTTTGATCGCCTCTGCCAGAAAAGCAGCTCAGCCCCCGAGTCCCCTCCTCAACCCAAGGAAGGGTCCGTTTCCTGTCATCCTAGGGACTAAATAGAAGGCTTGGGAGGGAGGCATTCCTGAGGATTTTCACAGGCAGATGTATTCTCACCCACACTCCCTCTGCACCAGGGTCCCGCAGGCCACAAGGCCCACAAGGCCCCCTGGGCGCTGGGTAGCCTGGAACGGCCCAGGCAAGTGCTCACCAGTGCTGCCCAGGCTGTCACTCACAGGGCAGGCTCTGTCTGTGAGGGCGCAGCCCGGATGCTGCGTGGCAGGCTGCCTGGCTGTCTGGGAACAAGGCCGCCACCGAGATGTGTGTCTGGGGCAGAAGGAAGCTCCTTCACCCGGGTACTCTTTGTACTGAGGGAGAGGGGCAGTGGGGCGCTTACAGTGGCGTCCCACCCTCGGCTGGATAGTTCTCTCTCTACCTAAATGGATTTGTCATTTCCCTCTGAACCCAAGGGGAGGGTGGGGACCCAGGAGAGGGCCTCAGGTAGCGGCACACAGGAGGCCAGGCTGGGAAAGCCGTCCCGCTCCACAGCCACTCTCTCTGCTCCTGGAGGTAGAAGATGTCACAGAGACACAGGGAGGCCTCGGAGGGCTGCGCTCTCTTTCCAGAGAAGGAATTTAATTTCCTCAAGGCAACCAGAATGGTAGGGCAGTTTTCTCCCTGCAGTGACTCTCCCAAGGCCTGGTTCTGAGAACCCAGGGTCAGAGCCGGCCCAGCAACGCAGGACTCTTGTGTCTGGGCTGACACCACGTTTCCTGCTGGGGTAATTCTTCCCTTTGCCTTTATCAGGATGCAATCTACGTACAATTTTCATACTCCGCTGTAATCACAGAACTGCAGACTAGTAATTCACCACCTTCTTACCCAAACTAACTATATAAAATGACAAAAGGTCATTGAAAAAAAATACAAATCCTGAAATGAAGTTGGCTGTTCAGAAATGAACTGTTATTCATTACCCTTAGAGAATAAACAGTATTTACATTTTGGAGCACAACCATTTGTGCACTGGTTTGTCTGAGTGCCCTGACAGCTGGCTCCCCAGTGCAGAGGCCGATCTGGGGAGAGACGGCGGCACAAGGTAACACCCACTCCTACAGGCTTCTCCTAAGCCCAGTGTCTCTCAGTGGAGTCGGCTTCACATCACAAACAGAAAGCACTCCTGTTTGAAGAGCTCTTGTTTAATTTTGACCAGGCTCCATATTAAGCCGAGGTAAAACCTGAGGACATCCTGAGAAAAGCAGAGCACAGGGAACCAGAATTCCCTTCTGGGCTCCAAAGTACATTTACTCTGCATCTCGGATGACTTATTTAACTCCTCCTTTGCTTCAATCTCCCAGTCTGGAAAATGAGGTCATTTTCACTGACTTTGGGAAAAGGCATTTTGGCAGTCTGGTTCTGGGCATTGAGAAAGGAGCCAAAAGCCAGGGTGAACCCTAAAGGAGCCGGGTGCACAGGTGTCCCATCACACCCCTGCTCATCTGTTGCCACGGATATGCCTGGACGTGAGTGGTCTCCCTGGAAGACCACGAATGCCCGAGAGACAAGGCCACTTCTTCCGTTTCCTTTGTATTTCCCTCCCTGTACCCCTCACTCCCAAAGTGGGCCTCAGCCACAGAGAACGCTCAGCTCCAAACGTGGCCATCTGCGTCTTCTGACGGTTAGGATGGGAAGGAAATGATGCCGACCCCCTCGTTTGAAAAATGCGTCTCAGATTCAGAGCAAACGCACATTCATCTGGTCCTCACGCTGGCAGGGTGAGGGCGTTGTCCCCACTTTCTAGATGAAGGTGTGTCGGCCAAGTTAAACGGCTCACCCAAGCCCGCAAGCAACACACCCGAGGCTTGGGCGTGGTCGTTTTTACTCCAGCTCCACTGCTCGTGTCCCTGACTGCCCAGGGTCAGAGCAGGCCTCACATGTAGCTGACTACGATTCCTTCTCTAGTGCCACTTTGGTCAAGGTTAAATAAATACGGTTTTCTTCAATGTGGATAGGAAATTGATAATGAGATGATTTGTAACAAATGACTAAACGGCCGTCGCTTGGGCATCCCCTCCCTTGCCCTTTCCTGCGCTTCCTGGGTGAAGGTGGGAGCGACGTGGATTTTCTTCAAGGGGAAGCAGCTTCGCCCCACACCCCTCACCACCCAGGCATTCTGCAAACCCATGCCAGAGAGGATCCCCCTTCCTACCACCCAGTTACTCGGAAGGGACGATAACAGCCATTGGGGGGTTAAAAAGAGGCAGTGAACCCCCAGTTAATGAGTAGGAATTCAGCAGGCAGTGTAAGATAAATGGAGCTCTCTCTGCTTCTGCTGGAGTCAGCATGAACTGCGGCCCTGCGGCTTGTTTGTGGCAAATGGAGTGCGCGAAATATCAAAGGGCAGTGATCCAGAAGAAGACCGACTTTGACAAATTTTAAATTGGCCAGAAAGAAAACCAGCAAAAAAGAAAAAAAGAAAGAAAAAAAAGGAAAAAAAAAAAAGAAAATTATGCAATTTGCTGTGTCCTGCAATTGTGGTGCTGCTGTCTTTGTGGAGAATTAGTGGTAAAAACAGCAGCGATTGCTGGATACTGGGAGCAATTATGAGCCATCTAAGTGAGATGCTTATCAGTGGCTGAAGCATTTAGAGCTCTCTCTGTGTACAGTCCTGAGTAACCTGCTCTTGAGCTGCAGTTACTTTAATTAAAGTGTATAGGGTTGGTCAGAAGTAATTATCCTGTTTGCAGAAGAAAGAGGGGAAAAAAAACCCCACCACCTCAACAATTCGGGTGGCAACAGATTTTAGAAACAACTTTGCCAATTTCTTGTTGTGTGTGTGCCTTTCCCACAAAACGATCAGGCAGCGGTGGGTTCGAGTTACTGGTGGTTGTTTCCTAATGGCAAACACTGAGACAAAAATAGGGTTCATGGTGACCCAAGCCACACTGCGGCTGCCAGCACGTGTGGTCTCTGGAGTGAGGGAGGCAAACACCCAGGAGTTTTTGTGTCTCTAGAGCGTGAGGATGTAAAGGGTTCACAAATGGTACTTTACTAATTAAATCACTCTTTGGAACACAAATGGGCTGGCATCTCTTTTTTTATGCCTTCATTCCCTGAGTTTCACTACATTTTAAAGACAATCTCTCTGTTCCTTTGGAAAAACAAAACCAAACCAACAAACAAAAGAACCTCGAGCTATTATCTTTCCTAACATAGCAAGGAGCTAAATGGGAGACCTGGGCAGACAATCAGCGTTTTAAAAGAATCTGAAACTCATTCAGACTCCGGGTTTGACACAGGGCCCCCGTGGTTTAGTTCCAAAGTTCAAATCGCAAGCGTCCTCCAAGAGCTCCCACAACAAATGAGCAGCACAGGAATGGCTGGAAGCACCGAGCGTGAGTGGTCCAGGGTGGCTGCTGCCCGGCCTGTCTGGAAGCACACAGTGCACAGTCTTCACTTCCATTCCTCCAGCTCAGGATGGCCCCAGAATGCCGCCGGGGCAGGGCTCTGGCTTTACCACCCCATGACACTGACTCTCACACCCCTCAGAAAGGAGGCGGGCTCATCCAAGGAGACGAGCAGAAACGGGATATTTAAGCCTAGCATGTTCTCCCCCTGATCAGCCTGCCCTCAACAGCCACTTCCAGCTAATCATTCTTTACAAGGACATCCACAAGCCAGAAAGATGGGCTGTTTGAACCGTAAGGGAATATCAGAAGAAAAATCGGGTGACTTTTGGTTTTTTAGGGCCCACTTTCCTTCCTATTACACACACAGTTTCATTCTACCAGGGTTCTTACCATATAGAGGACAGTAAATAAAGATTATCATGAATTTGATCAAATGCTTCAGTGCCTCCTCCCCTGGCCTATGAATGCACTCATTACAAATCAGCTGAACGGCTCATTGATTTGCCAGGAGAACGGGCAGACATACCCAATCGCTCAGCCAAGTGGATGTAGACGGGGTCCACCCGACGCATGGTCTTCACCAGATCCTTTCTGCGGAATTTGATTTCTACTGTTCCTTCTGGCTCCAGAACTGACCCCCTGGATCAGAGAGAAAGAAAGGGGAACAAAACAAAACAGAAATAGAGGCACTTTAAAGGAAGGAGACAACAGAATGAGGCCAGTTACAATCTGTGGACCAGGAAATAGCTTCATTATGGTTTTGCCCACCCACGGTTCACATAAGTAACCCCAGGGAGAGCCGCAGGCACCAGAGAAGAGTCTAAGTGGGGTATGAGAAAGGCCTGGCAAAAAAGCAATGAAAATGATTCTCATTACTACACGAGCCTACGTCCATCTCAAAGGGAGAACAATACAGATCCCATCACCTGTAGCTCATAAGAGTAACAGGAATCACATTTTTCAAGAAAAAAAAAAAAAGATGGTGTAGGCACAGTGACAGGAGAACCACCTCCATCACTCAGGTGGACGATGCAGGGTGTGCGCCAGTCAGTCCTACACAGGACTTCAGCCTGCTGGCGGCACTGAGACACGCAAGGCCAGGCCAAGCAGCAGAGGAAACGTTCTGCCCACTGCTATGGAAATGGCAAAGCGAAAGGTTTCAGCCACTTCTAGTGCATCCTAATGATGTCCTATTACCAGGAACGTACCCTAAACACCTCAAAAAAAAAAAAATTATAGCTAATGCCTGGCACAGCATGGCATTGTTCCAAGTGCTTACTTAAACATCTTCATGATAGTCCCAGGCCCGGTCTACATCCACTACGAGGTAAGGTATTACTAGCCCCATTTCACAGATGAAGAAACTAAGGTACAGGAAGGTAAGAGACTTGTCCAAGTCTAACAAGAGACAGAGTTGGATCTGAAACCAGACAGTCTTGTTGTAAAGTCTGCAGAGGCACTATCTCCAGTCTGATATCAAACCAGGGGCTAAGTGAGGACTTCTAAGTCCCTAAGAATCAAACGTTAACCTAGTGATTTGACAATAAAACTGCTGGACTCTCCTAAGCAGCTTCTGAAGTAAGAGGCTGAAATTTTGGGGAAAGGAGAGACATAGGTGCTCTATAAAACGACTGGATGTAGGAACTGGTATGGAAAATGTCAAGGAAATATGATGAGATTTACCTAATTTGATAAGGGTTGAAAACAGATTGTGAAGGGAGGCTGGATTTAATCTGTTTTACTTAAGTGTTTTCAGGTACTCGATGCCTAATGGAAGCCTGGGATGCTCTCTTGCAGTCCTTTGGGCGCTGCAAACACTGTGTTCTCCAAGCCTCCCAGAACACCAGAGTGAGATGCTGGACTGTGGGGTAGATGCTTTGGTCTGAAACATAGAATTTGGGGGCTGTGGTGCACCTCCACGACCACCCAACTCGTTCTACAGACAAGGAGAAGCAGCCCAGGCAGGGTGAGGGCCGCTCCAAGCTCCTCACTAGTCAGCGGCAGGGCTGGTGAAGACCCCAGGACTCCAGACTGACAACTCAGTCCTTCCACTCCAACTCGCTTTACGCTCCCTCTGCCACTTACCTAAGAGAGGCTGATAGGTTTATCTGAACAACATATGGGAGGGAATCGCACAGAGTTCGGGGACGCCTGGAATAGAGGACCTTGTGGTAAAAGAACCTGGGGTTGGGGGCCACACTGTGAGAGCCTGACTCCAGCCTGGTTCCCGTCTCACGCCAGCGGATGCTACTTAGAAAGCCTGTTTTTCTGACCTTGGTGCCCTCTGGGGATAGACAGACTCAGAGAGAGTACCCTTGGTTATAATGCTCCCCAGGAGGAAGCACTCAGCTGGAGGATCCCTAGAGGCAGTGAGCAGAAGAGAGGAAGGAGTGCTACCTGCTTTCTCGGTCAGCGTACATCTCCATGTGCCGGGGGTTGATGGTGGGGTCAATCACGACCCAGGAGCCGCCCCGAAGCTCGGCCTGCGGAGGAATGTAAACCATCACAGGCTGGGAGCACTCCCGCAGGCCATCCACGATGTAAGCACCGAACTTCAGCACCTGGTCGTACATATCTGTGGAGGGTGAGACAAATTGGGAACCATGAAGAGTGCTTCCAAACACCGTTCACACTGTGGTACACAGAGAAAATAAGGCTGCTCACAGCCAGAGGCGACAGGTCTGGGGGTGCAGCTACCCTAGGTCCTGTCTGGCCACCCTGAAGACTAAAGTGATTGGTGTCTCCACCCGTGTTCTATGTAAGACTGCAGGGGAATCTTCAAAAGCCCACAAGAAGTATATTTTCTTTCCTAAGATTCTGTGTGCAGGCCCTGTGGGTTGCATATCCACTTTACATCCTCCCTGAATTTCTGCACTCAGGTCTCACCACATTAATTCACACTTGCTCTACAAATGTTGAGTATTTTTCATGTCAATATGTGATCTCTCGCACTACATTAAGTTTTCTGGAGGAACTACCCAAGCTCTTTTCAATTCTTCTTGTCTTCTTCTCATCGTGATACTCAGCATACTTTAAGCCCTTAAAAAGCACAGCAAATGGAAATGGATCCTTCAAAAATTTTATCTTCAAAAACTGCATCTTTCCTCTTTGCATCCCCAGGGTCCTGTCCAGTGCCTGAAACATAGTGCTCAGTGTCTGCTGAATAAATGAATGGACACATACATGCACTTTGGAAAGAACATAGCGAGAAAGAAAAATTAATTCTTTATCAGCCGCATTTTTATCAGGGTATCAATGAGAGAAAAAATTAAATGTATTTAATTGGAAATGTATTTATTGTAAATATCACACAGCTGCATAAAAAGAAGAGCCACCTCTTCACTATGCTAAAGACTATACTTCGTAACCCCCCCAAAGGGATTACAAAAGGAACCCTTGGTGCATAGTTAGTCCTTGGAAAGCAGGACCAGTTATTTATTTCCCAATAATTTATGACTTCCTCCCATTTCCTAGCTCACTGAAGTCTAACCATTGCTAAAGTTTTAGGTTTATGAGTCCAGATGTTCAATGAGTATTTCGGTGGAACCACAATGGATCCTTTTGAAACACCAAATAACAGGTTCAACTGAGTTCAAACTTTCCTATCAAGGAGAGGATCTCAATTTGGAATAAATCAATCTGGAAATCCAAAGCAAAGAAGCATTTTTCAGGAGGTTAAGAGCCAACCAAATAGAAATTGCTTTCATTGTAGTTACTGGCAAATTAAACTGCTGCCTCCTCCGAAGTAAAAACGACTCTCTATAGAAGCTGTCAGTGAGCACGCTCACGGCAAGGCACAGGCCATTCTCCAGTGCCCAACCTGGCTGGTCCGGGAAGGAATTCCAAACATTCGGAAGATGCCCCAGGGAAAACCCCCTACTCTGTGTGGAATGTGAATGGTCACATACTCCGTGTATGTGATCAGAACAAAGACGTTTATTCCTTTGGGAGGAAAGCAAAGACCAAAAAAATTTACTGCTAATTACACAACTGCTCTATGAAGAGCAGGGAATAAAGGACTTTAAGCGCTTTACGCTAATTCTGTGGTTATGAAAATAATTGCTCAGTTCAAATTATTTTAACTAAATTAATTCTTTAGTGGATATTTCAACCAGTGCTACATAATAAAATAATTGTGTAATTAGCAGTACATTTTTCAGTGCTGCCAAGAGTATGGTCTCAGAACGAGTAACGGAGAGGAGTGGCCCTCAGCGGCGTCACGTGCAGAGAAATGGGAGGCAGAGATAAAAGGAAAAAGGGAAACAACAGAAAACAGCACACAGAAAAGCCATTCCACGTGAAAAAGGAAAAAGTAAGTTAAGAGGTAAATGATCAAGTTTCCAGCCTCTACACTCACTTCTGTTTGTTAAAGACATGTCTGCATCAAAATCCATCTCTGTACTATGATTAACAGACCCAGCTCCCCAGAAAAGGAGAGGACTTTATTGAAAATGTACCCCCATTTACTTAATTAAAAAAAAACAACACTTGATTTTACAGTATAAGCAAATTGTTTGGGATAAGTAAGTTGAGTATGTGTGTGTTTTACTTTTGTGAAGTGGACTTTGGTCCCTCCTGTTCATCTTTTTTTTTTTAAACATTTTTTTTATTGCTCCTGTTCATCTTCATGGCTAGCTCACTGTATACCAGGGAGCGTGGTTACACGTGCACACGCGCGCGTGCACACACACGCATGCCATTTAATCATCAGAAAAATCTCATAGCCAAGTGACAGGCCACTAAACCGAGGCTTAAATAGTAAGTGGCAGAGTTAAGACTTTGAATTCAGGTCTCTTTGGCTCCAGAGTCCACATTCAACTACTTCATTCTTAACTCATCACTCTTACTTCGAGGAAAGAGCATGAAGCTGAAGTAATCTGCTTTCCAGCATCTGATACAATGGTGGAGTGAAATAAAAACCAGAAAAGAGACCTGAAAAAAATGAGTATTTCTAAATCTTGCCTGAGGTTTTGGTATGTTCAGAAATATCAGAAATTGTACGACCAGCTATGTGAAGGGCTTGGATCTGACTGCAAAACAATTATCTCCAGGCCCCAAGACTGTGAGCAGAAAAGGGGCATCAAACTTCATGAAAGCTGACAAGCTAGAGACTGAAAACAGTGCCTCCATCTAACCTGGAACAGCAACACCCCACAGTCCAAACCATCACAACACTCAAAAAGCAACAAAGGCTATTAAAATACAAACAAGCACACGAACACACAAACTCTACAAACAACACGCTCGTCCTGAATCACAGCTGCCCCAAACCACGCATTCTGAAAGGCAGGCCGAAGCAATTGGCAACAACCGGGCACACATTTGTTTGAAATCCCTTTCTATTTAAGAGTCAGAGCACAAGCAGAGCCAAGAGTAGCAGGGGAGGGCGGGGATCCCAAGGGTTTCAACTAGAAATCAGCCCAGGGAGTTGTAAAGCTATGCATATGCCGCCTGTCAGTTCTCAGGCCCTGAGAAAGGCAATGGGAATGGAAAATACTGATAGGTTCCTCCTTGGAGAGGCGGGAGCCTGTGGCTTTCTGAGCATTCGGAGCAAAGCACATCTGCATGAATGGTGATCACACAGTCTTTCCAGTGTGTTCTCAGCACCCAGGCGCCAATCCTGCCTCGGGCCTTCATTGTTACACAACATGGATAAACCGTGGCAGCCACATGTACCAGACAAGGGAGCAAAGCGGGTAGGGGCATCCCCAGGGCCCCACGCCCTCGAAACTGGAACAGATCTTACTGGCTTGAGGCAAGATTATGTGTTAGAAGCTGAAGGTAAGCGTTAGGCATACACAAGCTGCAAACACATAATGTCTCTCATGAGTTCATTATGGCCGGCTGACACTGTATGTCAACATCCAAGTAATCAGAGACTTTAAAATGGACTTTCATTCCAGTTAAAGTTTTCAATAAATGTTTTTTTATTGTTATTTATAACCTGTCCCAGGAAAAAATAATAAGTATAACATGAAAAACCAACTGAGAGTGACCCTGTAGCACTAGCAGTGAGGAGCTTAATATCACTGGGATTTGCATCCTATCAAGCTATTCATGCTGAGGCTGGGACCCTGGTGCTAATTTCTAGTAAATTTCACGCTTGATGTCTCCCTGTTGTGGGTCATTGCCGGTTCGTCTAAATAAACTGCTTCCAAATGGCTCTTCCATCTAAATATTCAGCCAGTTTTTATAATTTAATTTTGCATTATGCTGAATAGCCTTCCGGCCAGATAGAGCTCATTGGGAAGAAAGCGCCAATACCATCTTGACATGCTTTTATTTATTTATTTATATTTTTACTGCTCGAATTAGACCTCCTAGGCCGACTAGTAAAGAGTTTTTTTTTTTTCCCTCCACTAATGTCAATTTTCAGCATAGCAAGAGCTGTCTCTAATCTTTTCCTACTCATTACACACAATTTTGGAGTCATTTTACCCACAGTGCAGTCGGCTCCTGGCTGTGTGTTTGTGTGCACTGAGGGATGGCATAATTGTTTATTTTCCCTCCCTGCATAATCCCCAGCCAGTATTGAAACCAAAACTGCAAACATCTCCCCAAGGGATATGGAATGACTCTCTGCTTAGGTCCCTTTACATGAGATAATATGTCGGAAACATCCTGACCTGTATGTAAATATGAGAGGAGGGCGATCTTCCCCTCCTGCTTTCACACTGATCTCTATCTTCCCCAAAGCTTATTTGACTTGAGTGATGTGTAAACGGATGCAGCAGCACCAAAATCCAGAAAACAGAGCTGGTCCTGCTCCACATCAGGCCAATAACTCATTTTTGATTAGGAGTGGGGGAAGGGGGAAGTAGGGAGTAATTTTTAACGAATACAGGCTTTAGGTCGGGGATGATGAAAAAGTTCGGGGTATAGGCAGCAGTGACGGTCACACAACACTGTGTATGTATTTAATGCCGCTGAATTGTATACTCTTACAAATGGTTGAAACGCTAAGTATTACGTTATGTATATTTTACAATGAAAAAAAGCCATAATTCATTTCTGAGCTCTTGCAGTTTCTGGTTACAATAACCCCAAAGCAGAGGGGAGGTGGGTGGGTAGGAACTTTCTCAGGAACCTAGATGTTCTGATTCTCGGGATATGCTAGTAGATCTGGTTCTGGTCCGAGGCGCTAACCTGTGCTATAGGAAGTAAGACAGATCTGTGTTCTCATTTTTAAGCTAAATGATCTCGGGAAATTTTCTTAACCTAAGTCTCAATATATGTAAATTGGGGATGATACTATAACTCACCCCTTGGAGGTGCTTCTTGTGATGATTACGTAAGATGATGCATGTAAAACGGTTAGCACGGTTTCTGGTGAAGAGAGCTCAATGGCTCTTAACTGCTGTGGTTACTGTTACAGGGCTAGCGGTCAGGCTGGGCCTGAGCCAAAATGTGCAGCACAATTCAAGCTTTCCATACAAGCGGCACGTCACAAACTTTTGAACTCTACGTCTGCCAGGACGAAACGGCCAGGCTGACTTATTCCTCCTGAGTAATGCCAGGAAGAGTGAATCCTCGACGGCTCCCCGGGAAGAGAGGTAACTAAGGAGTAACAGCATTGCATTCTCTCCTAAGCCTTGATGTCACTCCTCCAGCCGAGGAATCCGGGATCAGGTGAAATCTGATGCTGAATGAACCTCACATACATAAATGAAAGGGATTTCAGCTCCCCCACCCCATACAGTACCTTCCTCCTTTGAACACTGTGCTGTTCTGTTACACATAGGGCTTTATCATTCTGCGCAAGACATTTTTCTTGACTCTTTCAGGCAATGTCTATTTCTGACTTATTTTTGTTTTCTCTGAAGTATCTAGCTAGCATGGTTTCTTGCACATAGACACTCAATAAAAATGTGCAGGATTGACTTGTTTAACCTATACTCTCAGTATCTCATGGTATTTCCCCTGATTTATTATCTTAGTCAAAAAATAATTCACCTTGATAGTCTAGGAAAGTATACAAACACTAATTAGCATGTATAGTCCAAGCCTCTCCAAAGAAAGTATAAAATGTGGTAGTTCTCCAGTAAATATGGACAAAGGGAACTTTTCAACTGAAAAAACAACAACAAAAAAAATTGCCCTAGTTGTCCACATTTTGGCAGGGAGGCCTGGCTATACAAAGGCAGGGGTTTCCCTGGCCAGGTGAGGGAGAGTTGTTAGCATAAGGCTCTAATGTCTTTCCACACACAGCTGATGACCTACTAGAGGGTAACATTCCCAGGCCTTTCCTCCCTCAAAGCTAGAGATGCTCCTGCCCCAAGCCCTTTCTGGGTGCCTTAGGGAGAGCTCATTCTTTCACAGTGTCTATGTCCTACCTCTGATCGCTCTATTTCCTCCAGCAGCATCCACCCCGCCTCCTTCCACTCCCCTACCTCATTCCACTCCTTCAGAACCTCGGGTCCTCCCTGATGACTGAAGTGGACACTCATCAGCACAGTCATCCCCTCCTGGCCTCAGCATGGCCATGAATCTCTGGCCATTGGAGAGAGAGCGTCGCTACTCTGAGAGGTGGAGTACGCTCCCTCAGGCTTTCCCTGAGCTGTCCACGGTGGCTCTGCACATGGAGGACCCTCGGTAATTGGTGACACCAGCACAGAGCAGAGGCTTTATAATAATGGCCTAATACACTGGCGCCACAGGCCCAAGGCTGTTGTTGGATAATACTAAAACATATCACAAACTGCCACAAAGAACAGCCTCTGGTAAGGAATCTGTTCATTTTCTTCTGGTGAAGGCTAATTTCAGAATCTATCTTGGTCACTGGTAGAGCATTCAAGACTAACACCAACAAACAGTAGGCCCCGAAAAGAGGGACAGAGACAGGCACAACCACACTCCCCAGGACCATCGGAACAGCCCGCCAGTCCCTAAATCCACAAGAGCAGCCCACCGAGGCAACACTAGCAGATCCTTCTGAAATTCTGCGTGGAATTATAAAAACATACTGAATTTTCCCACCCAAGTTACAACTCAGAAGATACCTCAGAGGGAGCACAACCCCCAGGAAGCCTAGGGTGATGGGCTGTCAGGACACCCATGGGCTCTGCCCAATAAATACCCGCCACTGCAGTGTTCAGGGGAATCAGTGAGGCCCCAGGGCCAAGACACTCACCCTTCATCCCACCAGAGAAGCCTCTCCAGTTGGCAAAGACCATCAGAGGCAGCCCTTCACGGTTGAAGTCCTTGATAGCTTGATAGGTCTTAAATGCGGAGTCTGGGAACCAAACTTGGCCAGCCTGCTGGATTATCTATTGAGAAAAGCCAAAGAGGAAGACGCAATTAACAACACAGCTTGAAGGGGAATCTCTCCAAGGAGAACCAGGTTTCACTGTTAAAAACTCAAAAGCGAGCTGAACAAAAATCATTCATCAAGATCATCATCTTGGGGGTTGGGGAGGGTAGAGCACAAACTTGGCATGTATGAGGTCCTGGGTTCAATCCCCAGTACCTCCTCTAAACATTAATAAATAAACCTAATTACCTCCCTTCCCCTACACCCAAAAAAAGAAAATTATTATTTTTTAAAATCATTTTTGAAGTCAAAAAGAAGGATCCTGGATCTTTGACTATTAAATACGACTCTTTTTAAGTTTTGATTACACCACCGTTCTTCAATCAAGAGGGTGAAGCCTTACTGCTTCCAAGGAAAGAATGCAGTCTGAGGAATTCTTGTTCGAAGTCTCCCAAAAACAATTTTACGTGACTCTACACCAACCAAAGCAAGTCAACTACACAAAGTCTCCAAGTCCTCTCACCTCTGTGCTTCTTGGCACAGCTTTCCCTGGACTGTGGTTAATCAACGGACACTTGAGGTGACCCTGCTAAATAACCGCCTCTTGTCTCCCCTGCCCCTTGTTTTCTGGAACTTGTCAGGGTGTGGAAACCTAACCACCCTTTTAAAAGAGCTGGGCTGTGGTGTTCACATTTGGCCTTTGGGCAGACTTCCTTATTGATTCCAGTAGGAGCTCTTCCATGGGTGTGCTGAGAGAATCTGGGGCCAAAGAGCCGTCAGCACATCTCAGCTGCCTTTCTGTAAGACCGTGTACCCAACAGAAGTAGACTGTTTTCTAGCATCAGCAAGACCACTGTAGAGGCCTATTTAATTTTGCAGGCAGGATTTAGCTTGCAGTCCATGTAGTCATCTTAGAAGAAGCACATGATGGTGTGAAGTCATTCAAGACTGCTGGCTGCCCCCTCCCCTAACACTGGCGTTTGCAGTGCTTCCGGTATATCCATGGCTCTGCGGAAGGGAAGCGCGGCTCCAAGCTCAGGCGCTCAGGGTCCTCGAGGTGACCTACCTTGGCTTCAGAATCCAGGTTTGCAGGATCAGCTGGGATACTTAGTTCCACTGTTCGGGTTTCGACAGCAACTACTCCCACGGGAATTCCTCCCAGCCTGATAAAAAATGAGCCGCATAAGAACCCAATGTATGTCAGCATTACAGCTAGTCATTCATTCTCCAATCCCACATCAAAACGTGGGGTGGCAGGCAGGAGTGGGAACAAATACAAAGAGCAGGGGGAAATCTGACTCTTCTAAGGGTAAAATGTTTCTGTACAGATTTGGTATGTGTGGTCAGTTTGGTAAATCTGCAGGGAAACTGCCCTCAGAACCATTCCTATTCCCCAGAGTGGGATAAATTCAAACCGAGGGTTGTCCTAGGGGAGCCCCTGCATTTAGACTCAACAGCCTAGCATGTGTGTGATGTTTTGCCCGCACACACCCATCACTGTTGTTGCCAAGAGAAGTTTCTCAGTTCATCCTACAGCAGGCCTTTGGTGAAGCTGGCGGGGAACGGTCTGAAAGGCCGTCGGAACCTGCAACTCCATTACTGGCATAGAGCTGCAGTTTTCTATGGAGTACTTAATAACGTGGTTCCAGATAAGGTCTGAGGGTACACCAGGCCTTACCATTGGGCGTGTGGATGGGGAGTGTGCAGGTGTGTTACGGGGATGATGAAAAACATGTGCCAAGTGTAAGGGAGGAGGTTAACCTAACCAAGCCCTTAACCTTCTCTTCCTCTGGAGAAGAGCAATGGGACAGGGATAACCTCCAGAAGTAATTTTGGTGGAACAGGTGATCTGTATTGGAAGTAAACATTTAAACTCCAAGCTCTGTTAATTTAAAAAACGATTCAGGAGCTCCAAGGCTCTGCGTCTGTACTCCACGATACCCTCCCAACTTGGTCCTCATAAAGATTTCGTAGTAAAAATCAAGAAGAGAGAGGGAAAGTGAATGCGACCGAGCCTGCAAGGTACAGGATGAGTCCTCAATCTGGAAAATGTGATTCAATCTTCAGCTTCTCAGCCACACTCCTGGGGGTTGGGGCTGGAATGGGTTATGGTCTCTCGTTCCCCACAGCATCTCCATAACAAACTTCTCCATGAAGGATGGTCTTTGGTTGTTACACTGGCTACTGGAAATGGATTCTTGTCATCATAGGAGGCCTGACAGGGGCGTGAGTGGGGACCACCCACCCCCTTGTCACTTGCCTGCACTGAATCAGAATCAAAAGCCCTCTAGACAACCAGACAACGAGCAGGAGGTACACAGGAGGGTTTAGAAATATTTCTGTTCACAATGATTAACAATCCAACTGGAAACTTGTAATTGCAAAAGCCACCCTAAATCGGTAACTTATAACTTATATATTAGGGCCCATGTGACCTAATAAAGAACATCTTTATCCGAGTATTACAGTTATTTATTGAACTTGAAAACAGCTCAGAACAACTTCTGTTTTCTATTATACTTCATATAAATTTTATCAGGCTAGCACATGAAGATGCTACATCTTGTTTTATAGTGTGTCCCTGGACAAGGTGCCATGGAATAATAAAAGACAATTTACAGCCAATAGCACACATATTCCAAACATACATACCAAAGATGAGTTTTGGCAGCACTTACAGTAACAATCCCAGAAGAATACATTTATATTTATTTCTCGAAATGCCATTGCTTTTGAAAGAAGCTAGCTCCATTTGTGTTTTATATACTTGTGAGCATGTGTATATGTTTGGAGGAAGAAACCCAGGACTCATCAGATGGAGAGAAAGAAAGAAGTCCGAGGGAGTGTCGCAATAAACAATGGCAGAGCTAACCAAAGCCAAGCTTGACTGAGCTTGTTCGCAGAACAGTCCCTATTCTCCCAATCATAAGCGTAAAGCATTATTCTCTTATTTCCCATGGGAGGATCTTAAAGACCTGAACAAAGGTTTGGCTTTCTGAGACTTAAAATCCATCATGTTTTTTACAGAGAGAAAATTGAAGCAGAAGAGATGAGACACGTTCTCAGAAAAGTTGGTCCTGGTGTCCTGTGAAGAGTCTCCAACAAACTGATAGGTCCTGAGTACGAGGGCTCTCCCCAGTACACCACCCCCTCGCCTCCCCAGGAGGAACCCTGCCGGGTGCAAAGACTACTCCTCACTGGGACTCAGAAGCCTGTGGTGGGGCAGAAGCCCTGGGACGCAAGAGGATGCGGGAGCTAGTCCCTGGGAGTCTCGCTCTGGGCTGACTCCAGGCTGACCCCTATTCAGAGTCACCGTGAAAGATCCTGTCTGTGGAATCTGCCATTGGATGGTTCCTTGTCACTGGCAGCATGAGGCGTGCTGACCTGCTGGACCAAGAGAACCACAGAGCCTGGAATTATTTCTAAGGCTGGAATCTAAATCTCAACCCAACGTGGCATGTTTGAGAATCTTGAGCAGGTGCCACTTTTCACCAAGATAAGGAAAACTGATTGCCCCCGAGAGGAAGGTGAGCTCCAGATGTGGGTCCCCAGGGCGGCCGTCTCCCAGCGCAGAGCCAGATTAAGATCAGCCCCGGCAGGTGCTTGTTCCGGCGAGCGCGGCAGATTATTTCGTGCAGAGCTCGCTGTTGAGTGAAGCACTTCTTAGAGTGGGTATTAAAATTTAATAGAAACTTCAATTTCCCACTTGAAAAAGAGAGGGATCCCTGCCACCTATTCCAGCTGACTTTCCTCACTCATCCTGTTTCAGGTAAACTTTTTTTTTTTTGGCAATTCACATCTGATGATAAGCCGGTAGAGTGCGTTTGTTACTTTAAAAATCTCCATGCCGTGAAGGAATTTCTCGGTTACACAGATCGTTCGGGTGTGTTACACAGAGAAGTAGATGGGAACGATTCAACTGGCACCTACTCCTGAAAGAAAATGGCCTTTGGGGGAGCAGAGGGGGGTCACTGGGGGGCTATGGCTTTGTAGTTGGGCTCTCCAGCCCCCAAAGAACTTTTTTTTCATCATCATAAAAAGGAAATGTTGTCAAAACCAGACTTCAGATTAAACGCATCACTGGAGTGACACGCTAAGTGACCACTGGGAACCCGTGCTCCAGCTGTGCTGCCCTGGGCATGGCTATCAACCAGTGTTCTTCGGAAGTTTAGACAAAGAGCGCTTTATTGGTAAAAATCTATATAGCTGTGGCCCTTTCCTTTCTTGTTTTCAGTTGGGAGGAAAAAGAGCTTCCAAAACAAAAGAGCTCTTACCTGGCTCTGCCAACCACCACGGTCTGTGCCCAGGGTTGCATGATCTCTGAGAAAGAGCCATAGTCAAAAAATCCACTCAACCATTGACCTTTCTGGGCTACAGAAGGGAAAGAAAGAAAACACAAAATAGAGACAGTCAATTCATTGAAAAGGCACTGGAACCGGCAAGCTGAGGGTTGGATTTGGGGGATAATTAGAGGGAGTGCGTTGTTGTTTTTAACCATATCATAATAGATGGAATGTTCATCTGCCTTCAGACTTCAGCCCCTATTTCATTTGCTAGTCTGAATAAAAAGAATCATTTATCTGCAAAAGCATCATTTATTGTTAAACGATGGGGTTCAGCTAGCAGAGAAAGTCTGCATGCTTCTAAATAAATAACCTGACTTTTTTCAAAACACTACAAACATTTGTAAAAAGGTTGCCAAGTCATTAAAGATGTTTTCAAAATGTCTATTTCTATTTTAAAGCCTCGCTTACAGTTTTGTTTGATTTCACTGATTTTCTTTGAACGGAAAGCTGAAGACAGTCAAATGATAAGTATGAATGATCAAATGAGGACCCAAATTTGGGGACAAGGAAGGGGACTCAGCTTCTCTGCTAGAAAAGCAACAAGATACATCCCCTTTACTTACCGCTAACCAAGTATCATTTTACTACAAGAAAGGGCCACGCTCATACACGTGATAGGTATCGAAAATACAATGGTTCAGATGCACACACTTGGTGTCATTCACCGCCCTTGCACACAGAATTTCCATCACTGGCGAGAGGCATAACTTTCAACATCTTAGTTCAAGAGAAAAAACTTTTGTTCCACAGGTATGCGTGCTTGACCACGGCTTCTCTGACCAAAATCTTCTGCAAATACGCGAGCTCGCCCTCTCAGTTTATGGCTTCTCAGTGAGTCTTCTAATTTGAACATGGCCCTCCGCCCCCTAAAAACCCAAGCCCAAAACCAATTAAAAGTGGAGATCTGAGCAAGCTAACCTCTGCTGACTTAAACAGGATGGAGAGTGTTTTATCAAGACTAAACTTGTAATTACTGTGTTCTACATTACTTGCCTCTATGGCCCCAGTGTAAAATGTGATCATCCATTTCAAAATTATCTCTCTATCGTGAGCCCAAAGCCGATCGTTTAGATTCTGGTCTCGTGTTGGGCGTCAGTTTGAAGAATATCATGGCACTATCTCTTCTAATAAATGACTTTAACTTTTCACCTAGAAGATATCTGCTTTAACTTATCGCAGGGAATCATCTGCTTTCTTTAACGCTTTCACTAAATTAAAATCTGAAGTCACTCGATTTGGGAGCCAGTGTTAGCTGTGCAGAGACAGCAGGATGAATTACTAGGGAGTCGATGAAAAAATATTATCCAAAAAACAGAAAACTTAGTTTATCACAAATTTATTTTATTCCGGGGACCTCATTAATAATAGCCAGGATAATGCCCGCCCACACACAAACACACTCATCTGCTCACCCCATGAAAGAAGGCTCAAATTTTGATGAAGGCTCTAAACCAAACTTCTGAGTGCATCAGGATGTTGAAATTTTAACTTTATATGCTTGCATCATTTTATGGTTCTTACTTTAATAACAATGATTTGGAACTATAGAATTCATTCCAAAATGGAAATTTTTTTTCTTTAAAAACCCTCCTGTCTTACATGTTGATTGAGGGAGGGGAGTCATTGGTGGGCTGTGGCTATTGCAGTGGGCTTTATTAGCCCCTCAAAGAGCAGGTCATGTTCAGTTTAGAGGTAGAACTTAGAAGCCAGCTAACATGGCTCCTGATAATTCCCAGGAGAACACTCACTAAATCTTGTTCTGAATTCTCCCAGAAAAGCCCTAGATTTTAAGGCTGATGCTACCTTGGGTTCATAGTTCTTATCGTAAATCTTGGTATATAAATGAGAGGTATGGAGAAGATTACTATGCTGATTTTTCTGGCTATGTAAGAAAAACTATTCAGTTTTATTAACAAGAAAAGGCAGTGAAGACAACAGGTAACATTTTAAATTAAAATCAACCCTCCTCTGGCGATTTTTCTACACTATCTATAGTTAGGCTTCAGATTAAGCCCAACTCCTAAGTATTAGCTGTGTGACCTTGCACAAATCACTTAACTTCTCTGAGCTTGTAAAATGGTGATTTCGTTTTATCTCTGAGAAGTAGTAAGTCCAAATAAGATAGTGAGTATATATGGAAGTACTTTACAGTCCCACCTGGCTTAGTGGGTGCCCACAAGGTTTATTAAGTCTTCCTTATGAAGACCTCTTTCTCTCTCAATCAAATCATAAGAACTCTAAAATTTAAGGAATTATCTTCCATATTCCATTCTCCCTTTAGATAGAGCCTTTTTTTGAGGGGAACCAGTTGCAACAAACAGGCAAAAAAGAACAAGCACTTTCTCAAACAGCCTGAAAAAATGTAGCAGGGGGATTTGGGGCTTCACGAGAGAACCTCCTGGTAAGCAGTTTGTTAAAATTGCAAATGGACTGACAAACAAGAAGGTGCACTTGCCCTACATGGAGTTACCTTTTTTTTTTTTTTCCTGTTTTTGTTTTTTGGTTTTGTTTTAAAGTTTGGCTAAATCAGCCCCAAGACAGAGGGATGTATTAGATAAACATGGAGGGAGGGCTTGTTCTAATTTGGTATAGTTATAAAATTAAAGGCTCTGGACAATCTCTGCATGAAGAAACGATCTTACAAAGTAACCTTGTATTAATAACTAAAGCACACATCAATACAATTTCCAAAATCATAAGAGAAGAAGGGCGTATGCGGGTGCGTGCCCAGCAACAGCCTGTGGGGAAAAGTGTCGTCACGCTCTACAGCGAAGGGTCTCAAGGCCTGTTCCAGACGTGATCTCGTTAATCGCTGCTTGTAGAGACTAGACGGCCGAAGATTCTGGCCCTGTAATTCTATGACTTCATGGCTTACGTTTCATGGTTTGAAAGTCTTTGAGCCCATTAAGGAATAAGTGCTATTCTAAGACCAGAAGAAACAGAAGAAATGTATTGGGGACTGCAGTGCTTATGACTCAGTGGCTGATTGTAAACCTCATTTCATTCATTTTTCATTTGCGCTGGAAGAATTTTCTACCTTTTCTGCAGAGAGCTGTTCTGCAGCTGTCCCTCATTTCCAGGTACTTCAGTGGCTCTGTTTTCTTTGGTATACATTATTGTGGAGGAATTGGGTAGTGACTGAAAGGAAGACCGAAAGCCTGAGGACGGAAGGGCCACCGACCCTCCAACATATACGTACTTGGGTGAGGCCGGCCGGCCAGCATCCACCGAGGGTCATAGGGAGCCTTTGTGGGAACAAACTCGATGACTCTATCTATAGGATCCTTGGAGTTCAGCAGAGGAACTGAGCTGTGCACACTCTACAAGGAGATTGAGATGGAAAGAGCATCGTGGTCAGAGAACAGTCCTCCACTCCAACCCGCAACAGTCGTTCTGACAAAGGCAGCAGGGCCCCCGTAAGGAATGGCACCCGTTAGTCCCAATCCTCAGCTGGAAGCTCCCCGATCGTGTGCCAAGCCCTGAGGAACGTGTACAGCTCTCAAGCCTCACGTGGGAGCCTGGCACAACAGGGTGCGTCCTGACTCGTGATTTCAGTGTGCCCAGGCTTTCTGGGGAGCTCTGCAGAGGGAAGGATGCCTCCTACAAAGGAGAAAGGCTTCTTCCACGATGAGGAAGAAGCTTTAATATGCTGGGATCTGAGCCCAGATAGACACAAAGGCTTCTGTGGCTGGAAGTCATCAGAAAGGGGCCTGACCAAAGAAATCCAAAGGCATTTTAAATGTAGAAGGCCAAAGATGTCTCTAAGGAAAAAAAGAAATCAACTGTTTTCAGAGGAACATTTTGTAACAACTTCCTCTATCATAAAGGAGTCTGCAACGCAGAGG